GCTGCACGTATTAAAATCAGGCTCAAGCAGCCTCAAGTTAGGCATCCAAAACCAGAGTCTACTTCAGAAAATATTGGCCGTAACCTCTTTTGTCTCAGTTTCCCCATGTGTAATGTGAATAAAAATGCTCACACATCTCTGTAACGCACTTGGATAGCTGCGTGCTTTGCTGCTCTGTTGATGTTATTCGATAGATGCATACACACTTACTGTACACAGCTGAACCAAACAGGAAACCCTCTGAGATTTCTTTCAGAACCTGTGTGCCTGGATTGCTTTGTTTTTGCCTCTAACTGTTCTATTTTTGCCTACAGGCTCCCTCAGGCATCTCTGTGCAGGCAGTGCTCATCCTGGACCTAGACATGCTACTTTTGGGTTACCTCCCCAAGCCATCCTTGCCATTCAGATGACAACCAGCACTGAGACACTTTCACCTCTGGCTGGAGTGCCTAGTCCTTTCTGAGATGGGCGTTAATGCCTCTCCAAAAACTGCCCAATAAGGAGTCACCCAGTGAATGGTGAGCTCAATCTCCCCACACCTCTCTGTTTTGACACTCAACACACAGCATTTCCAACTTGAACCCTATCCAGAGTTCGGGTAGCTCAAGACTCTGGATCTCCTGTGTGGTAGAATAATATGTTGGTATTAAAAAATACCCGCTTGGCCTCTAGATGCATTTTTAACAACGAAAGAATATGAAGGTTCAGTAACAACGTTTACTTTTAAGTAGTACAGATTTCCCTGGGTACTGTAGAAACTAGGCTACACTGTGTATTTTCGTAAACTGCAGCCCAAGAAGGAAAGCACATACACTGCAGTGAACCATCTGTCAAGGGAAATCCAGATGACTTAAGCAGATGCAAAAATTCAAACTCTTTCTGATATTCAGAGATAAAAGCAAGGCTGAAAACAGGATAAAAATATTTAACATGGACTAAACACATTAGGAATTCCTAGGTACAAAAAAATTAAAGCAGGAAGCAACACTATCTTTCCAGGAAGACTGAGATTTTTTAAATAATAAATGACAATTACACTAAAGCATGAGAACTAGGACCGGAAGATGTTAGTTCTGCCGTATTGCCAACTCCAAAAGGTTCAAAAATCATGAGATTGGCTTAAAAACAATACATTTAAGGTTCTTTTTGTCTTCTGGGTTTGTTTGGTGTGGAGTTGGGTTTTTTTGAGCTTTTGGGGTGCACTCAAGTAGTACTTTAAAGCTTTTCTTTGCAATCATGAAGTCTATTTTTTTTTAAGTGGGCGCTGAGATTCTCATGTAATCACATGACTCCAGGCTCCAAGAAAAACACCAAATAACACAAGACTTATGATAAAATCATGCGAATTATAACCACAAAATCTTCAAGCCTCACTGAATGCAGCAAAAATACACTGAGCATAGCAGAGAAAAAGTGGCTAAGCAACCCTTTGCACTTACCTGATCTTCGTGCTGCTCTAATTTAGGCTGACTTGCAACAGCCTCAAGTGGCCAAAAGAGCAGCCCAGTATCCGGGTAGCAAAGGAGCAGCCCAGCTATGCCCCTTTTTCTCCAGTCATGTCCCCTTTCCCATGGTCTGCTAGTGGCAGCCAGCTCTGTGCCAGCACAGAACTACTGCTACCTGGGCATGCTTGGTTTCACTACCCGATTACACTGCTGGGGATGCTGTGTAAACCAGCTGCACCCACATCAGATCTGACCAGGGATCAAAATATGAACCCAGGTCAAGACCTCGTGGGTGGACAATATTCAGAGTCTGGATCCAGATCACAATTTTGCAGCTTGAGCTCATCCCTATACTAAACTAAACATTGTTTCCAACCCTAGACTCCTCTACTTCACCAATATTATTAACAAGAAAGGGAATTTCTTTTCCAAAAAAGTTCTGTTCGAATTAGGCATTCTTATTAGGCTACTGTCTTAAATATTTTAATTGGTTATTCCTGATTTTTTCATTAGCTCCTTGATTTGAATTAAAAATTGCTATATCTGCACACAGTAACTAGAGCTTGAAAATGCTGTAAGATGATGGAGAACTGACAGCAAGAACAGATGGTCCACGTAAAACACCCACCCAAAGGAAGGGTCTCATGCCATCTATGTTAACAGCTGTTTTTAGATCTCCTGAAGGGTGGTGTAGCTCTGAGATAAAACAGGCACTCAGTATCCAGGGTATGTGACATGCACTCAAATGGATTGATTTGTCTAGTAAATCTAATAAATGGGTCTTATTAATTCTTAGCCAGGAGAGAAAATATTCCTCAGTCCCTATTCACAAGCTCATTCTCATTCAAGAATGCCTCCTCTCCAAAACATCAAAGAGGCCTCCATTTCTTTCTGCAGAGAACTCTATAATGCATAGGTATCCATTTCCCTTAGCCGGTCTGTTTTCAAACAGCAGCACAGACAGTAGTTAAAGGAAAGATTTTAGCTGTTGCAGTTGGGTTTTTTTGTCACTACCTTATTTTCTTTAATGTTGCTCATTCTCCCTTCTCTTGAACAAGCATCAATACCCCTGACTTCTCTGCATCCCTGAGTCACTCTTCTTTGCCCTTTATTCCCTCTTCTTCCATTCATTATTTTGTCATCTACACTCTGTACCACCCTTAATTCCTTTGTCTCCTTCAGTCACTGCACAGTCTCCCCCACCAACCATCAGCCATGGTTCACACTCCCATCCAGTTCCTTGTCTCCTGCTCAAACAATAGTTAACAGCTCTGGATGAAATCTAGGGACTTTGTGTGCTTGCTCCACAGCAAATTCATGTTCTTCATCTTCAGTACTGACTCCTCACAAAACACCACGACTTCTCCACTGTTCTTGAATCCCATACCCACAACCATGTCATATATCTGCTACTTTTGACACCTTCCTTGAGCTCTCGCTTCCTCTCCTTTCTCTCTCTAGCCAAGACTTTGCTGACTTCAAAGAGAAGATTTATGTACTCCCTCCTTGTACACATTTGCCCCTCCCATACTTTCTCCTCTTTTAGTCTATATAATGGCCTTGAGGTCACACACATGCTCCTAATTTCCAAGCCCTCCTTCAATCCCTTTGTCTCTATCCCTTCACTGTTACTGACCTCTCATGCCGTACTCTTACCTACTACCGCTTTTGTCTCTTTTCTCTCCATTTTAAGGCATACCGCATATAACACAACCTCCCAAAACACCCCTTTCCTCCATCTGTCTTTCCTACTACCAGCCCATCTCCCGTCTCCTTTTCAATGAGCAATTTACAATTCCTGCATTGATTTCCTTTCCTCTAGATCAGGGGTTCTTTAGGGAAAACAACTAAATATGCACATATACATGTCCAAATCATTGTAACGTATTTATTGCTAGCTAGTAAGTCTGCTGTGAAAAGTGATATTAAACATACACGTATCCCTTTTCACAGCAAACTTAGCCCCAGCAAATCTGGGGATAAATTAAGCCCTAGATGAGGGATCAGGGGCCAGGGGTGATGGGGGTGAGTGGGTGAGTGGGTAGCCAGGGGAGGCAGCGGGGGTCAGAGCCTGAAGCCCCAAGGCTAGGGACAGAGCCTGAAGCCCTGCGGCCAGAGCCTGCCGCCCCGCTACCCAAGGGCTGAAGCCCAAAGCCTGAACTCACCGGCTGCCTGCTCCTCCAACGTTATGCCCCAGCTGTCTCCTGAGGGGGGCAGGGCCTAACCCCTTCTGGCGGCCCCCACAAACAACACCAAGGCTGTGCCCCCAGGAGCACCAGGGAGGGAGAGGGGCTGCTGCTCCCACCCCATCAGAGACCAGGAGGCTGTGGCTGCAAGAAAAGCCCCTGGTGGCCACATGCGGCCATGGTGGTCGCATTTGAGAAACACTGCTCTAGCTCATGTCTAGATCCACTCCAGTCGGATTTCTGTTTCACTGAAAATGCCATCTCCAAAGTCTCACAAAATGTCCTCCTGAGCCATAGGTGCTCAGTTCCATCTTCCTTGATCTTCAGTACTGTTCTTCAATCCCTCCTTCTTGGCAACTTCTTTTCCCTTGCCTTTTGTGACCCTATCCTCTCACGGTTCATCTACTTTCTCTCTGACCTCACCTTAGGCCTATTCTTTGATGGCTCTTTCTCCTTCAATATGGGAATCCCACATGGCTCTATCATTGGCCCCTCCACTTACACTTTACTTCTGGATAATATTGTCTGCTACCATGGTTTTTATTACTTGCCCATGGTACCAAGTTTACACTACCCACCTTCAGCTTCAAGGCCCTATTCAGCTCCACCCTGGCCACCACTGTTTCACTCATATCTTCTTCCTTTGCTCTGTCAACATTGCTATTCTCAACATTCTCCAACTCCTGTATTTGCTGTATTTGTCCCATGCTGCCCTCATGTATGGAATGGCTTCCCTTTCTTATGATGCAGAAAGAAACCCCTTTCACATTATAATCTCTCCTGAAACACACACACACTTATTCCATGACGCATACTATTACCCTTCAGCCCACATCTTACAGCCCCCTTTGCCCTCATGGCTCTGAGCATGACTCAGTCATACTTTAGGATTGGGTCCTTTATTTCTAAATTTGCCATGCGTTAGAACATCTACAACCACTTTTGATTTGTGATAACTCTGCTGTCTGGTTCTGGTTAAAGGACTGATAAAGGTGTAGCTCTAGACAGCCTTTCCTGGATCAGAATGACTGGAGTTAAGAAAGAATATAATCAAATATCATATTAAAGCGATCTGAAAGCGGAACAGATCTGAAAATGTAATAAGCTGTTAATTCCCCAGGAGAATCGTTTCAGATACATATGATTTCTGCAGCAACAATAGGTAGTATTTAATGACACAAGAAGTTGTGAACTCCTTGGAGAACTGTAGGCCTGTTTGGTTCATGGAACATATATTCTTGTTCTCTTCACTAATGGGTTATTTTGAAGAAAAAAAATAATCTGAGTAAAAATCATATGGTCAACAGACTCACCACAACAGAAAAGAGTACCATGTGAGATAGCTATCACCATGTATAAGATTACAGACCTGTTATATGTATGTGATATTCTTCCTTGAAGATATTTTGGAAGTAAGGTAGTTTGAACTGCAGATGTGCATATGGCAATCCAGGAAGATTTACATCAACATCACCCATGAAATGTGGAAACTCCCAATCCTGTTAAAGAAAGAACAGAAAAAATAACTTCTCACAATATATTACCCCCCATATAAAATGGTATAAATTAATAGTAGGAAAAGGATTCTGACAAGTAATATGGCAAAACACAAAAATATGGCAAGTTCTTGAAATGTATTGCGGACAACATTTTGTTTCAGGGGGACAGCCATTTTAGAGTTGGTTCTGACTAACTGGAAGGAATTGGTTGAGAATCTGAAGGCAAGTTGGGTAAAAGTGATCATGAAATTGCAAATTTCATGATTCTAAGGAAAGGAGGGAGTGAGATCAGCTGAATAAGGAAAATGGACTTCAAAAAAGCAGACTTTAACAAACTCGAAGAACTGGGAGGTAAGGTCCCATAGGAAGAAAATCTAAGGGAAAAAGGACTTCAGGAGAGCTGGCAATTTCTCAAAGAGACAATATTAAAGGTACAACAGCAAACTATTACGATGCAAAGGAAAGATCAGAAAAATAGTAAGAGGCCAATATGGTTCCATCAGGAATTCTTTAATGATCTGAAAATCAAAAAGGTGTCATGCAAAAAGTGGAAACATGGACAAATTGCTAAGGAGGAGTACCAAAGACTAGCACAAGCATGTAGGGACAAAATCAGAAAAGTTAAGGCACAAAATGCATTATACCTAACAAAGGACATAAAAAGCAATTAAGAAGTAGTTCTATAAATACATTTGGAGCAAGAGAAAGATAAGGAAAGTGTAGGTTCTCTACTTATCGGGGAAGGAGAGCTAATAATGGATGACATAAACAAGGCCAATGCCTACTTTTGCTTCAGTCTTCACTAAAAAGGTAAATTGTGACCTGATACTTAATACAATTAATATTAACAACAAGGAGGAAGATGCAGAAAAGCAAAATAGTGAAAGAACAGGTCAAATAGTATTTAGGTAAATTAGATGTATTCAAATCAACAGGGCCTGATGAAATTAATCGTATGGTACTTAAGGAACTAGCTGAAGCAATCTCAGAACCATCAGCAATTATCTCTGAGGACTCCTGGAGGATGAATGAGGTCCCAGAGGTATGGAGGGGGCAAACATAGTACCTATCTTTAAAAAAGGGAACAAAGAGGACCTGGGGAATTACAGAACAGTCAGCGTAGCTTAGATACCTTGACAGATACTGGAATTAATTATTAAACAATCACTTTGCTAGCACCTAGAGGACAAAATGGTTATGAGTAATAGCTAACATGGATTTGCCAAGAACAAATCATGCCAAATCAAACTAGTTTCCATTTTTGATAGGGTTATTGGCCTAGTGGATTGGAGGAAGCTGTAGATGTAATATTTCTTAATTTTAGTAAGGCTTATGACACAGTCCGACATGACAGTCTCATAAACAAACTATGGAAATGTAGTCTAGATTAAATTATTATAGCGTGGGTGCAAAACGAGTTGACAGACTGTACTTAAAGAGTAGTTATCAATGGTTTGCTGTCAAACTAGGGGGACATATCTAGTGGGGTTTACTTGGATAATGATGTGGAGAATATGCTTATAAAATTTGTGGATGAGGTTGTGAGGGGTTGCTAGCACTTTGGAGGAGGAGGATAAGAATTCAAAATGATCTTGACAAACTGATGGATTGGTCTGAAATCAACAAGATGAAATTCACTACAAACAAGTGCAAAGTAGTAAACTTAGGAAGGAAAACTACAAAATGGGGAATAAGTGGCTAGGCAATAGTACAGAAAGCAGTAGTACTTCTAATAATGATCTGGGGGTTAAAATAATTAAAAAACTGAATGAGAGTCAACAGTGTGATGCACTTGCAAAAAAGACCAATATTCTGTGTCCAATTCTAAGTGCCACACTTTAAGAAAGATGTGGACAAATTGGAGAAAGTCCAGAGAACAACAAAAATGATGAAAGGCTTCGAAAATCTGACCCAGGAGGAAAAGTTAAAAAAATTGGGCACATTTAGTCTTGAGAAAAGAAGACTATGGGGGGACTGGATAATCATCTTCAAATACATTAAGAGAATAGTGATCGATTGTTGCTCATGTCCTCTGAAGGTAGGATAAGAGGTAATTGGCTTAATCTGCAGGAAGGGAGGTTTACGTTAGATATTAGGAAAAACTTTCTAACTACAAGGATAATTAAGCACTGGAATAGGTTTCCAAGGGAGGTTGCGGAATCCCCATCATTGGAGGTTTTTAAGAACAGCTTAGATAAATAGGATGGTCTAGGTATACTTGGTCCTGTCTCAGCACAGAGGACAGGACTAGACGACCTCTCAAAGTCCCTTCCAGACCTATATTTCTGTGATTCTGTGCTTATCTTTTATAGCCACCTGCTAGTGAATATTTCTATCTTAATCTTGAGTGAGCCACATGAATTGGAATATTGTTTACATTAGAATATGTGATTTGATTATGACTTTAAATGCATATAATTATGCACTTAAATATTCACTTCAAAATGGTAATGATGAACCTATAGTATCTACTAATAGTACAAAATTAACCTAAGCGTATGTATGCCTATTCCTGTATTTTAAAAAAGGAAATTAGGTTCATGATACACTTAATTATAAAAACTTAATCAGAAACTGATTCTTTTCACCTGCAGTAATAGTCTTAGCTCCTGTGATTAACTTGGCAAACAATTTATACATAACAAATCTGGCAAGAAGGGGCCTGATCCTGAAAGTGCTATGCATGCAGAACTCCAACAGAAGTTTTTGTGTTACTTCTCACAAACATAGCACTGTGGAACACACTATAATAATGTCTATCCCAGTTTTTTTTAAGTGAATCCATGACCTAAAGTGAGCCTCAGTATCAGGATAAAAAAATAAAATAAAAATCCACCAGTTTTTAACATGCATATTGACCCACTAACCTTAAATTTAAAAAGTCACTCACATTATTCAAATTAGCAATAACATGTGCAAGGCAAAAGAAGCCTTAAATGACCTTAGCAATAATGGGGATCTTAAAATACTAATTTCCCAAACTAGGATAGAAGTTGCATTTAAAGCTTTGTTTGTATTACAAGGAAATTCGTTTTAGTTGTGTTAATCATGTATTGCTGCTTAGGCAGTTTATTAGAGCACTATAAATCATATGTAAATCATATATAAATGTCCTCACCACTGTTTCATGTATTAATTTGGCAAAGATGTTGCCTTGATAATACAAGCGACAAGTGTTGGACCTGTTGACCAATGTATGCTGGGCTAATTATATATCAATTACATTATTAATATATATCATTGACATCACATATATTAATATGCATGAAACACATAATATCAATATAACATTATATTGTATACATTTCCAGCAGTTACATGTCCTAAATTGGCCTGTCTTTTTATAATCCTATTTACTTATGCTAAGTATCTGGTAACACTTTACAAAACTGAAGTCAGCTTTGGCATTAGAAACTTGTTAAAGGCAAAATACATTAATGTTCTGCTCTGGTACAAGCTGGGGAGGTACCTTCACGGACCAGTAACTGGAATGTTAGTACTCAAAACAAAAATAAGGAAAGGTCCAGAACAACACGTTAAGGAACTGGGATGAACTGGTGTGTTGGATTTTAATAACGTGTAAAGGGTTTTGTAACTTGTAAAATTATCCAATAAATACTAACAGCTGAAATGTATAAATTTGGGAGCACACCTTCTCGGTGAGATTAATTTAAATACGCTGCATGAGAAGCTTCCCGGAAACTGGTATTGTATTAAGCCTTTCTTCCTGTACTATATTATCATTGACTTTTAGCAATAAACCTGATTGATATTGGTTATTTTGTCTCTTGAATATATTTCATAACAAACCAAAGTGTGCTCAAGCAATTGATGTGCAATTTATCAACAGTCCTCAACACAATCTGTCCCAGTGAGTTCAAATACTTCCTCCTATTTACTTGTTTGCAGTGTTGTTATAGTCATGTTGGTCCCAGGATATGACAGAGACAAGATGGGTGAGGTAATATCTTTTACTGGACCAACCTCTGTTGATGGAAGGCACAAGCTTTCGAGCTACACAGAGCTCTTCTTCAGGTCTGGGGAAGGAAGCAGAGTGTCTGAGATAAATACAAATTGGGAGAGACTGTCAAGAGAAGGGGTAGCACATATTCGAGGCAGCCTCTTGAAATGAAGTGGGCAATTGGGGTTAGATTGTCATGCATAAAGGTTTTGAAGTGGGCAATTAATAGATGGCAGGCAATGTGTTGTGTGACAAATTGTTGTAATGAGCCAGTCTCCCTGTTAAGTCCATGGTTTTTGGTGGCTAGTAGAGTGAAGAATTTAAGTGTCTAGGCTCAGGTTTTGAAGGTGTTGTGCAGGTTTCCCTTGAGGATAAGTATTGAAAGATCAGATATGGAGTGATCATTTTGTGAAAAGTGTTTACCCACAGGTGATATGGTGTTTTTGACTTTAATCATTTTTCTGTGTGAGTTCATTTGAGAGCACGGTGATTGTCTCATTTCACCTATATAGTTGTTATTGGGGCATTTGATGCACCAGATGAGGTACACCACGTGTTGTGATAAGCATGTATAGGACCTATGAATCTTGAAAGGCATATTGTGTCTAGCAGCGGAGATATGTCTGTAGGTTTTGCATCTGTTGTTCTAGAGGGGGCTGGTACCACTTTCAGGCTAGGTCTACACTACGGGGGGGGTGGGGGGTCGACCTAAGATACGCAACTTCAGCTATGTGAATAGCGCAGCTGAAGTTGCGTATTTTAGGTCGACTTACCTGGCTGTGAGGACGGCAGCGAGTCGACTGCTGCCGCGCCGCCATTGACTCCGCTTCCGCCTCTTGCCACGGTGGATTTCCGGAGTCGACGGCAGAGCGATCAGGGATCGATTTTATCACGTCTTCACTAGACGCGATAAGTCGATCCCCAATAGATCGATTGCTACCCGCCGATTCGGCGGGTAGTGAAGACGTGCCCTCAGTTTAGGGTGTCCTGGTCTATGATGAGCTTGCTTCTGATGATGAGCTTGGCAAAGTAGAGGGGT